GTCCACAGACACCCCAGGTTTCAGGGCCTCCCTCTGGCCGGTCCACAGACACCCCGATACTGGAAATAGAATCTAGTCCTCACCTCATCGTCTGTAAGTGTGAGGAGGGAGGGAGATTGTGGATTCGGTGCCTGTGACTCAGCAGCCGGAGGGCTATGGAGTCCCAGCCCTGGTGCCTGACCCAGCCTTCCCCTCCCCCCGCAGACCAGGAGATGGTGAGTGACTGCACCCCGAAACGGGACCGGAAGTGCCAGTGCAAGACCGGGGAGTTCTACTGCGACTCTGAGCACTGCCTGGAGGGCTGCCACCCCTGCACCAGGTACCGCCTCGGGGCGCGGACAGCCACGCAGCCTGGGTCCCCCCACCCCCGGCCTGTCTGCCTCGGGTTCTGCCGCTGCCCCTCGGTTCTCCATCTGTAACCTGGTAGCACCTGCCACGTGGAGGCGCCTGCAGATGAAATCCAACCAGTGGCCTGGCTGTTCCCACCGGGGGCCGCCCTGGGGCCAGGGCTCCGTCCACCCAGAGCCACCACCCGCTCATCCCACCAAAGCCCCCGTGGAGTCGGCACAGAAGCCGAAGCACAGAACCTGGCCGGGTCCCCGAGGGGTGGAGGGCGGGGCTGTGGGAGACGCAGAGGCCTGAGGAGGGAGGGAGGTGGGAGCCATAGATGGTTCCAGAGGAGGCGGCTCCGGGCAGAGGAAGAGCAGTGAGCCCCGCGCCCTGTCCCAGCTGCAAGGCCGTCCCCACAGCAGGGCCCTGGTTCTGTCACAGGCGCCAGTCCTGGCGGCTTAAAAAACCTCGGGAATAATTCTCTCCAGGCCCCCAGCCTGGGAGCCCGAAACCTGGGTGTGGGCAGGGCCGGCCCCTCGCGGGCTCTGGGAAGACCCTCCTGCCTCCTGGGCTCTGGGTGGGCTTCGATGGGGGAACCTTCTGCGGAAACATGACAGGGGAAAATCTGCTGGCAAAATAGCTCCCTTTTTAAAAGAAATCGATTTTTATTGATGTCAGAGAGGAGGGGAGAGGGAAAGAGAGGAACGGCAATGATGAGAGAGAATCGTGGGTCGGCTGCCTCCTGCACGCCCCCCACCAGGGATGGACCCCACAACCCGGGCCTGTGCCCTGACCGGGAATCGCACCATGACCTCCTGGTTCCTAGGCCGACGCTCAACCACTGAGCCACACCGGCGGGCAGAGCAGCGCATTTTGTGAGGCGCGTGTGGGCCCTTCAGTGCAACTCAGACCATGTGAACTGTGGCCCTGGGACCTGACAAGTCCGAAGTAGGGGCCGCTGCAGGTCCGGTTCGATCAGGGCTCTGCTTCTCTCGACTCCTTTGCCTGCCCGTCTCCATGGGCTTCCTCTCGGGGCTGCTCCCTCTCGGTGCGGCTGTGGCTCCAGCAGGTGCCGTCCTCACAGCCGCACCCCAGGGGCCCCGAACTCCCTCGCTGTGCTCTCAGCGGTCCCGGAGCCGGGTGGGCTGATGGTCTGGGAAAGCCCGGCACAGGCTGCCGGAGCCAGGGGCCCTCCAGGGCGGGGGCCGGCCTGGCCGGGAAGTGATGCTCAGGGTCCTTCACTCCTTCCTCTCAGCTGTCCCGGCGCCACCCTCCAGACCTGCAACGCCACGAGGGACACCGTGTGCGCCCCAGCAGCCCAGCCAGAGCCAGGTAAGCGGCCCCCCCTCTTCCACGGGAGCCAGCCTGTGCGGGGGTCAGTGCTCAGCTCTGCCCCGTAGAAAAGAGGCTGCAGGCAGGAAGTGGTGGGTGTGTGTGGCCGGGTTCCAAGAAAACGTTATTTTTTTCTAATATATTTCTATTGATGTCCGAGAGGGAGGGAGAGGTAGGGAGAGGGAGGGAGGGAAACATCCATGATGAGAGAGAATCATGGACCGGCTGCCTCCTGCACACCCTCCACTGGGGATCGAGCCCACAACCCGGGCCTGTGCCCTGAGAGGGAATCGAACCCGGACCTCCTGGTTCATAGGTCGACGCTCAAC